GGGACCTGCCCTGATTTTCATAGTTATGTAGATGTCCAATTAGTTATATAAACAACTGTCCCCAACCCCAGCCCTTGCAGGCCCAAGTTTTCCACTGCACATTTAAAACCAAAAAAAGGCAGATTCCAAGGACATAGTGAAGTTGCTTTTTTTTGTTTGTTTGCTGGAGCAGCAAATTCTTGTCATCTGTCTTCATTGCACAATGAAACTAAATGTTTATGACAAGCGTGATATACAAAATTCTTGGAAAAAAATCACTTTTAGCACAGACTTCAGGGGCCAATATTTTGTTCTCCACTTCATCCTACAAGCTCTTCCTTCTGGTGTCTTCATCTATTATTCAGTCCAAATTATCTTTCTACTGTGATCAAAAAAATTTCATTCCCCTTTTAGTTCCTTTCTCATCTCATCCCATAATAGTTCAAAGGACATGCAGGAAGTGATGTCTCATGGGGAGAGAGGTGATGTCTCAAAAGCTGAAGATACAGCTTAAAAATTAATGCTTGTCCATTGAAAAATTTACAAGTCGCTTGCTGTGCTCGTTTCACCTCTTGATAACATTGCACAATGTGTTTGTGTTTGCAGATCTAAGTTAAAAGTAAGCTTTATGAGATCATCCGGAATATGTACACATTTATTACATCATCCACAGCTACGAAACATGATTGAGACTCATATAATAATAATTTTTAGGCAGATATGATCAGAAGAATTTCCATTTCTCCTGCAGAAATGTTAGGCTTTCTTTTGTACTTTGTAATATCCTTTATGGATTAGAGCCAAATTTGTTATAACATTTGAGCAATACATATATATATATATATATATATATATATATATATATATATATATACTCTAAATAAATGAATAAACACAGAAGTAGATAATGTGAGTATAAAACAACTTTTGGCAAGGGTGATCAGTAAGAGAAAATGGGAAGAGCATTTGACGAGAGATCAGCCATGTGGTTTTGATCTGGTTATTTCAGTGAGCCACCTTGGGATACTGCATTATCTGTAGGCTTCTATGTATGTGCTTTATCACTCAGATGCCAGGAATTACAGAATGTGACTTTCCTGAGTGACTCTACAGCCACAAAGCTAATCAAGTAACACTATTTCTTTGCAAGGATGCCAATACCTAGTTTCCAACTTAAGATACTGCTGTGTGAAGACAGTTCTCATGAAAAGAAATCCATACATTTATTACTTTTCACTAGCTATAATAAGTACTCAGTAGTATTTTCAAGTTATATACTAATGAAATAACTCAGTTTTTAAAGCCTTTTTGAGTGTGACATTTTATAGCAAGGCTCAAAATATGAGGCCATAAAGTGAGACTACAGCAGCTTTACTTATAAGTCTACACAATTATTCAGCCTTAAAAAGGGAGGAAATTCTGACATGTGCTACAACATGGATGAACCTTGAAAATGTTAAGTGAAATAAACCAGTCACAAAAGAACAAATGTATGATTCCACTTATATAAGGTGCGTGGAGGAGTCAGATTTAGAGGGATAGAGAGTAGAATGGAGGTTGGTAGGGGCTTAATGGGCACACCGTTTCAACTGGGGAAGATGGAAATGTTCTGGAGACAGAGGAATGGTGGTATTGGTTGCATTATGATGTGAATGCAATTAATGGCATAGATCTGTACATTAATAATGGTTAAAACAGTACATTTTATCTCATATATGTCCCCCCACCCCACACACACATGTAAGTCTACACACTGAGTTTGTTCCTTACCAGGTCAATACTTAATTTTAACCAAAAAACTCGGGACTGTCTACGCTTTGGGGATGAGTCCAAAGAGCACCAACCACCTTGGGGAGCCAGTTTGTTGAACTGAATCTTGGGAGATGTCCTGTGATAATAGAGATCAATGGATAAATGGATAAAGCTCATGAAAATGGAGACATCTGGTTGATGGATCACTGTTGTTTCTTTTTTTATTATTTGTTGTTTTTTATTTTCATTGGGAACTACAAATGCAGAATAAACATCAAGCAGCTAGAAGGAGGGATCTGTTTCCACAGCCTAGAGGTGTCTGGGGGCCGCTGCTTTTCTATTTTGTCTTCTCAACAGTGACTTCCACTTTTCCTCCCCCACAGGCTTTTCTGATTGACAGGACATCCTTCCTGGTCCCATTGCTTTTTTATTCGCAGGTGCTGGCATTCATCCGTGTAGTTTTGCAGATGCTCTAAATACCACTCTGGTACCCCCGTGGGTTGGCACCCCTGCAAAAAGGATGGCTCATAAATTGTGGATCCAACACACTTGCAAAGGTTTGGTTTCCGCCAGCCTGCACGTTGTCCGAAGAGCAAGGAATTAAGAGCTGATCCTTTTCGTTTCTACCATTGTTTGGGTCCTGACCACAGTTGCTGCTAAAAAAATGTATCCAAAGTGAAGTCTTGGCCAACACACCTGAATATAGTGGTGACGCAGCAATCACCCAGGCTCCCATTCATTGACACCTACCATATTACAAGTGCCATTCTATGTAATGTTTAATCCACATAACAGCCCTTTTATAAATGAGAAACTGAGGCTCAGAGAGATGAGAAATCTTGCATAAATTAATGCAGGGAGGTAAGTAACAGAGTTGGGCTGTGACCCAGGTGTGTCTGAGCCTGAGCTCATGCTCTTTTGGGAGTGTTCTTCCCTGGTATGGATTCATTTCCCTTTTTGGTGTTCCAAGTAGGTTTGCTATTTATTAAAAGAAAGAACTTGAGCACAAGCCTCATCTAAACCACTTGGTGAGGTAAGGGTATCAAAAAGGAATTCACTGGGGAAAAAAAAAAAGGAATTCACTGTGAAAACAAATGAACTTGGAGCAGGCATATTGCACAAAGCAGGTTTACTCAATGATTGAATGTACCCTCCAAATTTATTTTCTCTGATAAAATGGCCACTATTAATTAAAAGGCAATTCTATGTATCAGATTGAGATTTTACAAGCAGTTTGTTCTGTCCACTAGGTTAGGAGCTCCTAAGAGGAAACCAAAAATGGTTTTTTTGAATGGATAAAATAATTGGCTGGGGCTCTGCACAGGGGTTTTCTATACTGTTTAGCTGCTGTCCGAAAACAAAATAAACTGGCTCCTCAGAAATAGTTTATAACTAGAATTATAGCAACCTCTCTCAGCTCCTCCAATTTATATGAAAATCTAGTATAGATGGATTGGTTCCTGTATATTTTTTCCTCAATTAAGAGAATTTTGCATTGCCTCTATGTTTGTGAAAAGTCCTTCCAAGTCCTAGCTTAAGGATGCCAAAATTAAAAAAACACTGAACAGTTGGTTGCAAAACCAGACACAAGAGGGTCAAAAGGCATGAGTGTGATTATTAACTGCAATTAAACAAAATAAATAAAGCCTATTATCCAATCTGTGGAATCACGAATACTTTCCCATGAGCACGGTATGGTAGATGGAAATCCATTTATTGCCCATCTGAGGTGTGTAACATGTCTTGCCAGTCTCCTTTTTGGTGGACTGTCTTTGTTATTCCTGCAAGCGAGCCTAGAATATTTACAGGTTCTCTAGTGCACTCAATCCCCCTACTCCACGGCTGTGATGTTATCCCCCAGTGCTCCTGCCATTTATGGCTGCAGTGGGATTGCTCTCATGGGGGAAACTGTACAGTATCTGATGCATTCATAGTGAGGATTTGGGGTTCGATACACAGTGACAGAGGTAGGTGACCATCATTTGAAAGAACAACTCATTTACCTTTGGAAAACATCACTGATTACCTGAGGCGGGTCACCCTTGGGTGAGAGGAACTGAAACACGCTAAGAAAGTGAATGACTTGGAAGATCAGGCTGTGGACAGAGCTCCTGTGTGCACCCCAGTGAGCACCGTGCTATGGAGCCCAAAGGGCTGTCTCACATCCTCCACTCTGGAGGTGATGAAGGGTGGCAGGTGAACCTATCAGGACCGTTGAGCATTCCAGGTGCTCTCCAACTAAACAAGGGTCCTGACTTGCAGATCAAATCAGTTAAAGCTCAAACGCCTTCCTGAGGAGCTTAAGACCATCAAAATATTCCCTCGGGTGGAGGGAATCCTGAAACACAGGCATAAGGATGAGACTTGTTATCACCCACTTTCACTTCTAGGGTGACCAAAAGAACCTCCCTAGCCCTCATTTATTATTTGCTCTTAAACCCTTCAAAGTACTCGCTGCAGTCCCCCGGCCCCCCTGCCAGTGCCCTAGGAGAGGGAACATCCTCAAATTACCCTTCTTCTCTACCACTGTAGCCGCATGCTGCAGGAAGTGCTGGCTTCATCTTTCCTCTCCCACACTCCCTTAGTCTTTCCTCAAGCCCAGTCTGCAGGTCTAAAACATTGCAGCCTAATCGCTAATTAAGAGAAAAGAGAAGCTCCTGGAAAGAGAAGGAATTTGCATTCCAAGACCTAGGGCTCCATCTGCCCTGTAGCTGGTAATTGACATTCAGTGTTTTATCGGATCATCATTAAGGCTGCCCACTCACAGGCAGCGGAATTTGCCTTCTAGGAGCTCTGTTGGTTTGCCTAGTGACAGGTCTGAATGAAGCACAGTGCCCAGAACACCTCAGTCCCTTAGTGACTGCGTAAGGATTTGATTATTCGGGATGCCATATGTTTAATTGGGAGTAACCAAATTGTGCTTTTTAAAAAGCCCAAGTGTGGACATTAAAAAAAAAAAAAGGGAACAAAGGTTGCATGTGCCTACTGGGTACCAGCATATTAGGAAACACTGGGCTGGGAAAATACACCAATTTTGGAGTCATCCCCACCTGGGTTTGATTTGGGCTTCTTCCTCCAGCTGTCTGACATCAATCAAATCACATATTTCCCTGACATTCTTCTTTCGAGTATTATGGACCGTCTCTCATAATGTGGTGAGGATCAAATGAGAAAACGGACCTAAGCACCTAGCACAGTGGATTTCAGAATATTAGTGACTAATTATCAGGTACTTTAAGTATGTTATCTCATTACGCAGGGGGGCAGGGCTGTCAGCATCATTTGACCAAATGAGGAATTTAAGCGTCAAAATGTTATCTCTCAGAACATCCTTCAAACCTGGTCTGACTGGATCCCGAATTGTGCCTTACCTAACTCCCCAAAGGGACTGGAAAACTGTATTGGCTGCATATGGTGATAGCAAAAGGGCAACCACAGTTACTGACCCTGTGGATCAAGAACCATGACCTCTCAAAGCAACTCAGCTGCAAGATGCCACCCGCGCAAGCTAATCTTTATAAGCAGCTCTTTGGAGACAGCCTCCCTGCATCAGAGCAAAGAGAGGCTGTGTTTCCTGTACTCCGGAGTCACGGCAGTGCCCTTTCCAGGCTGCTGAGGTACCATTTGGTCTGAAGTAGGTGAGCCTCTGTGAGCACACGAGGCAGCTTCTTCCTCTGGAGGAGTTTCACTGAGTCAGGTGCAGAACTTGGGGTTCTGGGCCCTGCTGTGGAGCTGGTACTACGCTAGAACTGACTACCTGCTTCTCCTTTAGGCGAGTGGCCCAGGATGGACTATGCTTCCTCACTTGGGGGGCACTGGGACAAACCACAGTTTCCTGTCTGCCTCAGTGAGGGGGGAAGCACGTAAACAGATGAAAATGAAAACGGGCAGTGTTGTTTGGTTGTGAGTGTGTGTGTTCTGTGTGTGGGGAGGGGGTGGGTGGAGGAGCCGTGGGCAGGAGGTCCCAAATCCCCAGGTGTCAGAGAGAGAGTTTCAGGTGCTTCCTGTCTAGCAACTTCCTTCTACACGGTTTGCATCCTATCAGAGCTTTAGATTCTGTGCAGAGCATGAGACATCACTGGGCCCCACTATGGACAGAGTGCTGCCCCTCCGTTCCTTAAAGAGTCCTCTCATCCCCACCCCCACCCGGCCTTGCTTAGATGACTAGGAGTCATCTCCATGCTCGGGGGAGAAACACGATACAGGTGAAGTGTATGTACCCGGAACCAGATGTCCCACGTGTGAATCTTTAGGGCTGCCTAGTGCTAGTTGCATAACAACTAATCTAACCGCAGTCAACTCATCTGTAAAATGGACATAATCACAGCTGCGTCATAAAATTGTCAGAAGGGTTAAATGAGCTAATATGTGAAATGTGCTTTGAAACGCACCAGCACCCAGTAAGTGTTCAGTGAAAGTTAGCTGTTGCTACCGCAGTGAGCACAACCAGGTCCCTTAGATAAGCAGCCCAAGAGAATGAAAAAAACCTTTAGAGACAACCAAACCTCAGCTCCCTTCTTACTGTATGGATGGCTTTGAAAAATTTATTTAACTTTTCTTCAGCTTTCTAAAGCAAGTTCAGTTGCCCCAAACTTTGTAGCTCCCTGTTTTTTACCTGCCTAAGAGCAGGTAATGTCCTTTCTTCTACTGTGATTGGTTTAGAACTGCATGGTAAATATAATAATATCTAGAAAAGCTTTCCTTCCTCTACCACTGTTCAAGGACCACTTAGAAGAATGGATTCAAATTTTGTTAACCATTTTATTAACTTTTAACAACTCAACAGGCGTGGTCCTGTGTGATTAGCACCAAAGTGCAGTCTGTTCTATTCAGGAAAACGGCAACCCTCCGTCCTTTCACTCTCCACCCCAAATCCACAATTCTAGAACTATCAACTTGCTAAAAAATTGTGGGCACCCCAAACCAATATTTGACAAAAAAGGCTGGTCTGCTATTCCTCTGCCCAATATTATCCCTCTCATTGCCTTTTGGTGACATCACTTAGGAATAACATAAAATTGTGACTTTAACTGGTCTTTACTCAGCTCTTAACACAGTGGTCAGGAATTGGTTATGAATTAATTTGCACAACCTCAGCAGAAACCCAAGAGATGTCTCTTAGGCATTATTAATATCACGAGGGGGTTTGGCCCTGTCAGAACATTCCAGAATGGTATGACTCAATGTGCTCTTGTCTTACCTTGTACCTTAATGCCTTGCTATCTCCTTTAGATGCCCAATATGCATTCCTGCACACCAACCATGCCACAGAGAGCCTGGTTCTGCAGTGAAATTAAGCCTCTGCATCCCTCCACCATTTAGACCTGAGAACTTGCCCTCTCAACCTACTCAGATGGAGAAGTCCTATAGAGAAGAGAGGAGGGCCTTGCAAAAACCCCTTGCATTCTGCCAGAGACTAACAGCTCTAGGAAGTCTACAGGAGCCTTAAGAACAATTCAGCTCCTCTGGGAGAAGAGCCAAATTGGCTGGAAGGCAGACACCTCAGTATTTGAGGTAAGTTCGAAGTCTTGCCCCTTTGGCCTAACCTCTACTCTCTCTTGCCAAGTCCACCCTGAGCAGACCCTTGGCATCTCCCCAAGGGACCATAGTACCTTCCTGCTCTGGTTACTTTGCTGTCGAGGGGGTAGGGGGCTCCTCAACATTTCTAGGGAACAGGCAGTCAAGGCAGAGGTATGGGCCCCGTTTTAGGGGCCCTGGACCTTTAGAGCCCAGCCCTTAGTTCAGGTCTGCAGCCGCCACGCAGCAAGGCGGGGTTCAGCGTCCCACGCTCAGAAAGCCTGAGACTCCCTGGCAACTTGGCTCCCATGAGCCTTGCAGGCAGAACTGGTGAGTCAGGCTCTCCTCCCTTTCCCAGACTCCCCGCAGGGGCTGTCTGACCTGCTTTGACTCCTTTTTGCTTTCAAGGTTGCTCTTGATACTCACCTTAACCTGATTTTACATGGTGTGATGTGCCTGGGGCCCCAAATCTTTCCCAGAGAGGGCTGATTCCTCTCTCCCGCTGTTCAGTTTGCCAAAATGGGCAGGGATGGGCTGCGGAAGAGCTGCCTGGGGGCTTGGGGAACTTGAACGATCTTTTGCTTATGCAATCGTTCAGTGTAATTAGGTTGTAATTTTCTAAAGATGAATTTGTGAGAGGCCCACATTTTCTACGGGATGAAAACAAGCGCTTACTATGGTAGCACGAATGATGGGTGGGTACAGCTGCCAGGAGGAAGATTTCCTTGCAGTGTTGGGAGATTAGAAGCCCAGACCTCGAGTAAGAGATAAGGGAACATTTTCGGGGAAAGCTAGGTGCTTTCTCAGTGCTTCCACATTGAATTCTCAGAGCAGCTTATGTTGATGAGGATAGCTCTCATTTTAAGGGTGAGAAAACGGAGGTTCAGAAAATTTACGTCCTCTGCCCAAGGTCACTGAATTAGTGCTAATCAGAGTAGCTAGCACTTAGTGACGCCCATATGCTATGAATTGTCCTGAATGCTTTACACAGATGCACTCCTTAAAATAATAACCCTATGGGGAGAGAGGGGGCATTGTGGACCACTGTGGCCCTCATTTTTCTGTTGTAAAAGTTGAGGCAATGAGTTACTAAATGAATGATTCTGGGGGCAGAACTGGGACCTAAACTCACGAGGTCACACTCTACTCCTCCAACCAGGTTTTGCTGCACTCCTCTTCACCAGAACGTGGTGGTGATGGGGTTTTATTCCAGGTCTGTCTGACTTCAGGTGTTGTGTGCACCTTCCACTATGCTGGAAATCCAAATAAGTGGTGGTGGTGGTGGTGTGTGTGTATGTGTGCCTGAGTGAATATGGGGATAAATTCAAAATATGCAGTCCTAGACACCTCAATCATGCAACCCCTAACTATTGCTTGCCTACTACTTTCTGGAAGCTGTGTTAGAAGAGCTCTGTGTGTACCCTTCATGAGACAGATTCAGCTCACATAACCAGGAACACAAGCTGATGTAGAATCAAGTATTCGAAATCTAATGGTTGCATAGAGCAGCTGGTTCTAATTGCTATCTTCCCAGAGGACAGGGCCATTTCTTGTTCATTTGAGGGTTCCCATGGCTTTGCTACAGGAGTCGAAAATTGTTCTTAGACTTGATTTGTGTTTTGGGGGAAGAAATTCATTAAAGTTCTGTGTACTGAAACAAAATTGACTTGGGCCTGAAAAAAATGGATATGGTTAGGTGGACAAGGGGAAAGTGGAAAATATTTTAGGAGAGTGGAACAAAGGATTGGAGGCAGAAATAAGCATGATGTCTCTGACCCAGGCAAATGATTGTATTGACAAGCAGAAATGGAGTTTGAGCAAATGAAAAATGAGTTTGGATAGGGATGTAGATAGGTCATTGAACATCAGACAAAGATGTGTCAAATGGGTGTGGTTGGCCAAAGGGAGCCATTGATGATTTTAGAAGAAAGGCAGTGATGGGAACAAATTTGGCAGAAGATCACCCTGGTGAAGTGAAGCTGGATGAATTGCAGGGGACAGCTGGGAAGTCAGCTAGGAGATGGCTTCAGTAGGCCAGAGGGAGGGGATGGAGCTAGAGCAACCAAAATGGTCATGACACTGTAGTTCCCACAAACCTAGTCCCAAGATCTCAGGGAGGGCTGAGCTTTGGAGCTCATCTGCTCTAGCTGCCTCCTTTCCCCTCCCTCCCAGGGATCAGGCTTAATTGTCTGAATGACATTCTAGTCTAGTGACTGCCCAGGGTTTGGATGAAAATGGAGAGGCATGAAGAACTCACTACCTCCCTTTCTGCTTTTGGAGAATTGTATCAGAAATGTCTCCGTATGAAGCCAAAATTGGCCTCCTAGGGAATTTCATACATTGGTCATTTTGGAAGAAAGTAACAGCTGCTCTAAGCGAAGAGCATGATATTTATGGGAATAGTGAAACAAGTCAGAAACTGAGTCCAAGGCTCAGCCAGGATGGCTTTGAGCAAGTCAGGTGAACTCTGTGTGAGTCTTAACTTCTGCAACAGTGGGGACAATACACATATAGCTTCGTACTCTGGTCTATTTGGATAAGCAAACAAAATGGCTTGTGACAATGTTTTAGAAACTTCAAAATGCCTCATAAAGGAAAGGGACGTATGACTTTTAATGCTCCACAGAAGGGAATGGAGTATAGTTGAGTGCCAGAGAAAGCTGGATCCACATTCCAGCTCTGCCACTTTCCGGCACTGTGATTTGGGGCTCCTTCCCCAACCCTTGCTTCCATAGCTGCAAAATGGCACAAATACAGTCCTACCTCGGGAAGTTATTGTGACAACCAAATCTGATGAGGCATTTACAAGCACTTAGCACAGGGTCTGCCTAACCTATAATAAATGATGAATAAATACTATTACTATTATTGATACATGATGACTGCATATAGGAGATGAGTGAAAAAAGAGGAGTCCAGTCCATGGCCTTGAACTTGAGTGAGTAAAGAGACAATGGTCATACTGATGGTCTGAGAATGGGAGGGAAGCTGACTGTGATGATCTGGCAGATGTTTTGAAACGGCAACTCCTGGCATAGCTCTTATGTTTAAGGCACTCTTTTGACAGTGGCTGTTTTTTGGGCCCGCTCCATATCGAGCGGCTGGGCTCCCTCTCTGACACCCACATAACAAGAGTTGATTGACTCAAACATAGTGCAGGCGTTCACAGCCCATTCCGCCTACAGCCATGCCATAAACCATGAGGAGCGCATTGCATTGTTACCAGATAGGGTGTCCTGTTTAGATGCCAAGATGGTGAAAGAAATGTCATCAGCTATGCATTCCTACGGAGGGGCCATCCCATTCTTGGCCAGGACGACGGTTTTGCAGAAAAGTCATGAATCTGTAGACACTCTGACATAAATCCCATGCAGAGGTAACTTGTCACAAAGGGCTCTTATCACAGTGCTTTCAGCTGCTTACTTGGATTTTGTGATCATTCTAAAAACTGTTTTTTTCAGTCAGTAACCAAGTCTTCAGTAAAAGATGAAGTAGTATGATCAGGTTAAAGGTGCATGTTAGTGGAGGCCATGCTACCGGGTTCAGGGAGGAATGACCTTTGAGCAATCAGGCTAAGTGCCTAGTGAGGTAAGGGCTTGAGTTTCATAATTTTTTGTGTTCAGGAGAGAGTGAGCTGTGGAAAGTCCATCTATCCAGAAAGTTTCTTCAGTTGACGATCAGACAAGTGGATTTGCACCTAGGAGTTCCGCTTTCCCAAATGAAGAAGCCAACCATTGTGTTTACACAACTTGCCCCAAATCACACAATTTGTCTTATTCCTTCTTTCTATCCAACTATGCTGGGGGGGGGGGGAACCATCATTGTGGGAATATGTAAAGAAAAATAAAGGCAATGCCATAACCAGAGACCATCGATGATGATGCCATTTCTAACTTGGCAGTGGACTTGATACTAGAAGGATGTTGTAGTAATATTCAATGAACTCATCTCCCATGTTAAATGTCTAGTTCTTTATTCTGAAATTTCTTCTGCTTCCATGTCTTCAAATATTTTCCATAAAGTGGAAATTCCTAATAAGCTCTTCACAGTCTAGATCGGTCTCCTGAGTTCAATAATCCTGTATCCATGGCCCACCAGCCTCTTTACATGTATACTTTGCAGGTATCTCTAACTCAACCTGTTCCACAAGATGAAGGATCTTAATCCAGTACCCATATCCTTCCTATACTCCCCATCTCAGGGAGCGCTTCCAACCATCCACTCAGGAAAGCCAGTGTAGGGAACTCTTCCTCAGCTCCATCTTTCCCTACATCAAATCTCACAATTTCTGTCAACTCTATCTTCTGGACATCTGAGTTCTGTCATCTCTTCCCTGTCTCCAGCACCACCACATGAATCCTATTTCAAGTGGGAGATTATCTTCCATGTTGGTCTCTTGGACTCGTTATCTGCTTTACACATCCTACCCCCATTCTGTCCATTCTGGTTTTTTTCCTCCAATTCAAACTTTGTACTACTCTCCCACCTAAGATCTTCCAGTGCTGCTCCCTCAGTACAGAATAAAGCACCAAAGAATGACTTACAAGTGTCTTCAAATTTTGGCTGTTGCTTCAATTTCTAGCCTATGCCCTGCTGCTCTCAATTTTTTAAAAAATTTTATTTATTTGAGAGAGAGTATGAATGTGAGAGTGAGAGCAAGAGCAGGGGAGAGGGAGCAGACTCCCTGATGAGCAGGGAGCCCAATGCAGGGCTTGATCCAAGGACCCCAGGATCATGACCTGAGCTGAAGGCAGATGCCCAACCAACTGAGCCACCCAGGCACCCTGCTGCTCTCCTTGTAGCTTGCAGCAGACTCTTTTGGTGCATGTATCCTTTGGCTCTACCCTGTCAGTGTGCAGAATCCAGCTTCCAGGGGAGAGCACCTGCTTGTAAGAGCATGAGACCTTTTCCAGTGCCTCAGAAGGCTGCTCTGATGAATACCCATGGCAGGCCAGAAGAACCAGGTTGTGGACACCTAGAAGTTTTCTTCAGCTAGT